CCATTAGAATGAAGGAAAAAACAAAAATAATGGTTTTCAGAAACTACTTAACTATTGTCGTACAAGAAGCGCAAACACTATTACGATCCGCACAAATCTTGTTATATCTATCTTTCTATTTCTTAAGATGATATTTAGTATCTTTATGGGGAATGACCACAACCCTTTAAAAAGAATTAGCATCCTTTTCGGACAGCTTGTTTTGTGATACAGGAATGCTATGTTCTGTTTATGGCATATGATTTCCTTCAAACAGAAGATTTCAAATCAAATTTTACGACGCTTTTACGCTTTTATAGATGAAGAGTGCAAAGTAAAGGCACAATGAAATAACAACGATTTCATAAGTATTACTAATAATGTAGCTATGAAAAGTAGTTATGACGTTCCCTGACCTCCATGGCTAAGACAATAAGATGGTGTAAAATTGCTGTCTGTTTTATATGTTTTTAATACGAGTTAATTTATTTTGACAAGTAATTGAAAATTAGAGACCCTTGTCTCTTTCCCAATTATATTCATCGTCTTATGTATCTGAAGATTATGCTGTTTAAGATAAAAGGAAGATTGAATGCTTAACGTATGTCTGACATGAATGCGGCTGTAGGAATTGTTTGTATTTAAAGAGATTCATAGACAATTCTTAAACAAATCGGCATTTCATCCAGTAGCGTCATAAGCTGGTAATATATTAGGATGATAACGGTAATGGTGCAAACAGAAGTTGCGAGTGTCCAGTCTACACTTGTCAAGGCTATATCTCTGTTGGATTCCCTTAAACGTGGGGTTCTTTCCAGTAATTCACTGCTTTTCAACACAAACATTCTGAAGTTCAAATAACCGAATACATGTGAAAAATAAAAGAAAATATGACAGGAGATAAAAATGGGCTATTTCATTTTCGAGACTGGCAATATATCATCAAATCATCAGATACAACGGCCAAAAGTCGAATAAAAGAAATATGTCAATGATGAAAGTTTCACAGTGGAATTTAAAAGAATTTCTAAATCTTTTCATAGGTGATTTACGCGGAATAAAACGTGCAAAATGTTGTTGTTTTTTCTCACTAATTATTTTTATTCTCCTCTGTTTTACCTGAGATGCACGACGATGCATTGTGATCTGGAGGTCTGCTGTGGTAGAACATAACTTGATAAATATTCACTGCTCCCAATGCATGGCCATTGCCACCAAGATGTTTAACTAGCTGGTCCCATGACTCTATCTTGTGAATAATCTATTAAATATGACGACTCACAAATTAACAGTATTTGGGCGATAGATAGAATTTCATTATTGAAGTGCCTTTCACGCCTGTCAAATCACGTCAAGGAAACCATAACCATCCCAAAGGATCAATCGCTTGAAGTTAATCGAATCCAAACAAAATTTTCGAACTACACAAATTCAAAGTGAATTGCTATTCTATCAAAAAGGCGCATTTGTATTCTGTTGGTATATGTTATGTAATATAAGTAACAAAATTGAAGGATTTTGAAGCTGTATATCTTTCTATAAATACTATCTGAGCTTTTCATTTATCTAAAATTGGTAACCCATGAAAATCCTTACCGAAAGAGGGTGTAATATTCTGAACTGAAGTGAATCCCATATAGAGGTAGGACTCTAATTTTTAATTTTTCAAGAGATTGGATACTTTGTCTAGCGTTTTCAAATACAATGTTACTTTACAATGTTACTTGTAACAGATCCATCAGAAGAACATAAGGAGATAATTTACATGACGTTATATCGGTGTGATATTTCTATTAAACCACAATGAATTATAAGGATATTCGTATAAATATTGACTAACAATTAATGGTCGAAATCTCTTGAGATATCCTCCATGATATTCATCAAATTTGTTAACCGTTTGGTAATAGGATCCATTGCTTAGTTTGTTTTCATCAATTTTGTGTTGTGATATGAGCAGATTATTTGTCGATTTGGTTTGCTGTTTGTTGTATAGTTCATATTTGACTCAAAGTAATAAAATTAAAAATGGAATTATACTAACTACTTTTCTCTCCAAGTAGTATTTTACGGCTTTGTTTGAACCTTATTTAATTTCCACCTGTCCCGTGATCTTAAAAGTGTAGAGTTTGTCAAAGTAAGTGAATTCCCTGGTAAGGGAATATTTTTTATGTGTTTTTTAATCATCACTTGGACCAGATATGAATTATTGTTATGAATTTCCCATTTTATCACTCGAAGCTTAAACTTAACCTCAGAATTTAAGTTTTCAAATCAATTTTAAATATATTTCACGGTCTCTATATTTTGGGTATTTGGATGTTCGACGACGCAATAGGTAATTCATTAGCCAAAAGTAGTTGAAAGAAAATGAATTTTTACAACCCCGACTCAACAGTAAATCGTGAATGATAAAATAATTCAAAATGTAGTCGCAGAGCAGCAGGACGTAAAACTCTAAAGTATTTATTTTGTAGTTAAATGGGACAGATGTTTAATGTTCGATGAAATGAAACGTTATCAATCTTTGATTTTAAGCTAATTAATTTAACTCTGCACATTTCTGCAAATATTCCGTAATTATTAGAACAAAAACACACAAACTGTCCCCCATTATTAATCAATTAAAACCATTTACTAATGAATTCTTACTAATTAAATGAAAGTCAATTTCCAAATGGTGTGTGTATTTTCCAAATTAACCGACCATGGTTTGGGTTGACCTGTAATGATAGCTCGATATTTTAAGGAAGGTCGGTATATGCCAAGAAAATAGCTCAACAAATTTGATTGGTTGTCAAAAGCACAAACTTGGGAAAAAGAACTATTATTAAGAAATCATCTCTTTACGTGTATGATCATTTTCTATATTTATAATAATTTGCAGATACAGAAAGAAATTTGACTGCCCTTTTAAATGTCACCCACCGTGCTATATTTATAACGCTGCCTATTCTTCATCAATTTTAACTAAAGAGTAAAAATTAAATTAAAGGGTCCAGGGGGAATTTCAGTTGATAATAATGGATAGGACTAGATTAGTTTAGATGTAATTAAACTTCCCCAGTTACTGGAAGCAGATTGGGGGTCGGGGAAATTTGTGTTGCCGTAATTTGGCGCTTCCTTGATAATAGACTCAAGGGAGATAACTAATTGATTGAGTGTTTTAAGATCATTAAATAGCCCATATTTTCACAAACACTCCATTAAAAGGCTGTTCATTTGGTTAGTGAATAAAAAACGACAATAAGATTGTATCGAAATCGTCGAATGATATGAAATTCTGTCTAAAGAACAGTTATTGTTTAATTTGTTTTAATGGTTTATTAATTTTATTAGCAAGGAAATTAATGGTGTGTAATAATTCCGAGTGCTCTTCGGTACATTTCGGTCAGTAACCAGTGCTTGAGTGAATTCAAGTGGTATTTTACTTGAATAGTAATAGCTCCTAACTTTGATTTTCCTTTGTCACCATGACAGTTTAGTGTTAATGGTAATTGAAAAGAAATCTTTGATAGCTAAAATATCAAAATGACATGCGGCGTATTTGTGTTTTTTTTTTAATATGTTGTTCTGTCTAAATCTTTGATCCTAACTCAGTCACGTTTTGCAAATGCTGTCAATCGGACAACTGCTCTGAGGTCTATTAACACAACTTTGCGAATCGTTTTTCCATTGAACGTTGTTTGTCAGATGAAACAAAAACCCTTTTGATTACTGTGTTAACCGAAACAGAATGCAAAGCTGATGCTTCGGAACAATGATCGTGTAGCATATAATGTGCCCAGTGGAAACACATGAAAGCTAGCTTAAGCTGGCCTTTTTCTTAGTGGAAACAGTTATGATTGCTTGAACCAGCATCCAAGAAACTGCAATCAACATAAAGATAGAATGAAGACAATTAAATATTTATTAATTTAGCATCCTAATAAGACAAAAATAACATTACTTAGCAATAATACTGATATGTAAATATCTACTGAAATTCAAGTCATGGATATAATATCTGTTCAATGCCATAGGCATTAATAAACTTAACACGAGAGTACATTAAATCCATCATATTTATGAATAAAAAAAAACCACAAGTTCTAACGATTCGAACCGAAACCCGAAATCCAAAACAATATATATTGGCAACACATTGCAGCTATTGAACTTTTCAAACGAGGAAGTATATCATTTAAAATGAGGTATCTGAATGTATTTCATATTGAAAAGTGGTATCAGGTGTCTGATAGTAATCATAGTAAACATGATTTAGAATCTAAATAAAAACAACGTCCATCTTTCCCTACATATATATGACAGAATGTAAGTGTATTAACAGTAACTATAAAAAAAATTTAAATCACCCATAATATTAATGTTTTAATCGGAATGATGTTACAAGTTTCTACTACTCTATCGTTGATTTATTGAATTACAAAAACTAAACGAAATAATCGTAAACCACAACTTAGCACTCGACACACAAATAAACAAATTCGGCAAGGGATGATGTTCTAACAAATAGACAAACACAACTATATTATGTTGAGTCTATATAACGTACATCTATTCCATGTGACAATCCCGGTGGATAATGACCGGTAGATGGTGGTGAACATAACGGTGAGTATAATGATTGACTTTCCTCCCTCTGAATACTCAATAAGAACTTCTGAGCAGCTTGTCTCTCCATTTCCCGTTCTTCAGCTGTTTGACGCCTGAAAAGAAAATCGAACCAAAATTTTAATTCACTTAGGTCTACAAACTGGAAATAATGGAACTGGATGAGCACACCTGCAAGCTATGATTGCAAGGGCCCACTTTTATATCCGGCCATGTATGTGCTAATGATGTCATCCTCTATTCTTTTCATTAAGGTGCAGATAGAAGCTAAAAATTTCCCCGATGTACATTGGAAAACTAGAAAAACATCACATCAAATCCAGGATTCATTTATTGTTTTGCAATCCATATTCACTGAATCGGCAGCCATGCACCTGATCGGATAATACAGACAATTGCTTATAACCCTACCTCCATTTGGTACGTCTATTCTGGAACCATGTCTTGACCTGTGAATCTGACATGTTTAAACCTTTAGCCAGTGTGGATCTTTCAGCTGAAGCCAGATATTTCTGTCGAGAAAATCGCTTTTCTAACTCCATAACTTGTTGTCTTGTAAAGGCTGTTCTTGGCTTCTTTCGTTTTGGAGGACTTCTGTTTTGGTACGGGTGTCCAACTCTTCGAATTACTACAACAAAAATAGCACTGTTGTACAATTTGCTTGTTATTGTAGATTGATGAAACAAAAAAAGTTATACCAGACACTGATCTGTTTAGAACGCAGGGATAACGATTTCGGAATAATAATATTGTTGTCTTCAAAAAAATATGAATTTCTCAGAATGAAAATAGAAGATTTGCAAAGTGTTGAAAAAGGTTTCCCATTTTTAACGACTAAACGGATGATTTCTGATTTAATGATCGAAATTGAAAAGGATAAATGAAATCGGATAATATGTAAGTCTATGCAATATTTTATGTTTATTGCAATACATGTATATTGGTATTGTAAGCGAACGTTTTGTTTCTTATCGCTGTTTCACGAATGTCATTGGAGATAATTAGAGATTGTATAACTTAGTAGTAGTATTAAGTGATACGCTTTTATGAAAAATTTCTACTTGAAAATATCCTTTAAATTGTTTTTAATTTTTCTTTTTCCAAACAGATATTTAAAGACATAAACTAAAAGAATACATAATAGACTTCGTAGTGTCTTCCAGACAATGATCGGAGTATTTATAAATAATTTACAAGTAAGGCGGACATTTTAAATGAATATTAGTCTCATATATACCCAATAATTAAACACCCTTAAAACAATATCGTCCATCACACCTTTCCTGTCAAATTACCAAGCAAATAATGTTCACTTGGTTTGTTTAAAAAAATTATCTTTTTTGTTGTCTCTAGAGCAAGACCGCTCTAAAAAAAACTTGAATGTCACATACAAAAAACATTTTGTAATAATGTTTCAATCGTAAAAACTAGTAAAATATTTTTCACTTGATTTTGTATTTTAATTGTACAACTGGAACACGATTTACGCTACAATTAAAGCACGCACGAGCATTAAATTGTTTAAAGGCTGTCAGTTTATTTTCACAAAATGATCCTTTATAAATCAGACATGCTTGCTGTTAATTTAAAATGTAAAATATCATATATGAATGATATGACAAATTAAAGGAATGCGAATTGACCTTTCTCAAAGGTGATACATTGATAAAAAAATAGTGTTGTACTTACCCCCAAACCGGTCTCTATTACATTCAGGCCACTGGTTTCCAATGTAGGAGAATAGGGAGGGCCACACTGGCCTGGAGTTCAAATTTAAACCAAGAGGTACAACGGCATTTTGATTTGAGCTAAAATTATTTGGAAAAGTGGGGCGTCCATTAGTTAAGAATCCTTCAGAGTTTGAAATATTTTCCACATCTTCCTCTTCTTTTCCATCAACGTCACTTTCACTATTTTCTTCTTGAACTGTGTTTGATGAATCTTTCGTGTTTTGTTCAGTTGATTCTCGTTGGAAAGGCACACAAGTTGACAAATTGACCTTTGGTTTTAAAACAGTTTTTTCGGAAGTTAAGTTTTTCGTTGGCTTAAAATTTAACATACGTTCAATACTAAATGATAGAGTTTTACTCGAACTCACACAATTTCTGTCGGATTTCGTTTCAGAATTTAAATGAGATGAAGATGAAAAAGTCTTACTTTTTAATTCACCATTTTCTTTTAAAATGTTTTGACTTTCATTTTCAATTGTCGTGATGTGTGTATTTTTTTCTCCCGAACTATCCATTACAGTTGATTTTAATTCGATGTCTTGAGGATAATTCTCACCAATTTGTGGCTTAGTTTCCACTTTAATTTCCATGTTTTTTTAAAGAACGGGTGAAAGCCTACAATCAAAGTTTGCTTTACACATTAAACAACAAGTCTTTCAATCAAAGTTGTAAACTCCTTTAAAACATCTTGTATCCTCGAATAAATACATCAATGTCACTTCACTTCGTCAAGCTTCTCAACAAACTAAAAAAGAGCGGCGGGCTAATTGAAAAATCGATAATGAATTTTAAGAGACTATGATGAAATCCAGCGGTAACTTTGATTACTTCCCTTGCAATGTATTCTTTTGACTTTTTATATTAATCATGTCCAATTGCGATTAAATCGGACATTTAGCATTACAGAAATTGCACAACGGTTAGATAAGGTTGAAATATTCGTTTCTTTCGGATCTTGTTCAAGTTCTTTTTCAGAGTTGTCCAAATCTTGTTCAAGTTTCCATAATTGGTTTTTGCTTGGTTTACACATATACAAATATAAATTCAATTCACTGTTGCAGCTCAACCATGAACACTGGATGTCGCATTGGTTCTGTCATTAAATCAAAGCAATTCACATTAAAGTGTGTGTAAATGATGGAAGGTATCGATGTAACTGAATCCATGGTGTGAGATGAGAAGAGGCAATCGAGACAAGGAAATCATCGAGTTTAATAATAAATGAAAGAAGAAACGCCTTTATCTCATTAGTTATGATGAGAGTTAATAGAAACAGGAATAATAAGTGTTGGCTTGTAATTAGCGGCATCAGTTGCTTTCTGTCTCTTCGAGTTGCACAGTTTGCAGATGTATTTGATCTATGGATTTTGTAACAGAAACAGTACTGTAAAAGTTGAAAGTAGTAATATCTCATAGTTAATAGGTTACATAGATTTCAAATACCAATATGTTTCCTGCTATGCCACTGCTACCTTGTTGAAGAAAAAGAGTGAAAATAATTTGTCACAATAGGGCGCAGGACATCCCATCGAACAAGCTTTTCTTTAATGCTACCGTAATGTTTTAAATATGACCCATAAATTTATTTCCTAGACCGAATAAGAAACGTAAAAAAAGGAAAATAGTAAGTTTTGTTTGAACCTGTCTTCGAAACATTGGCAAAGCCACAATTTACTGAAAATATGATTTTTGAACAATGTCATGGGTCACTTTATAGTAAAAAAATTTAAATCTCTTAGAATCTTTTAACAACATTATTTCACTGATTCTGTATATTCATTTTCAATGTACTTTTAAAGGTTTTTATCATATTGGAAATTCAAGCCTAACATTCTTTTTGGGTTATGGAATGGCGTCAATTTGAACAAAGGTTTGAACGTATAAAAACTGTCGAGTCACATGTGTTCCTTTCAAAATAATTTTTGATGAAGAGATATTAATATTTGAATCAAAATCTTTGTCTCGTATTGTAGATAACGTTAGGTTATGTGAAGCAGGTGGCCGATACCATAAAACAACATCATAGATATTTGTTAATCAAATATTCATCTAACTAATCCCTCTTTAAGATAAATAAAAATATATTTCGTCTACATTTTTATGTAATAAAAATTGACATTTTGTCACATTGAAATGAAATAAGATCAATTTATGGAATTTTGGTAAGTTTGTTGGAAGATGACAAACTATTCGCTGATTTCGCAGGTTAGGTAGTTTTTCGTAGTTAGATCTGGATTTATTGGATGATATAAAATCTGTAATATCCAAACGCAAGATTAATTTGTGATATCATTTTGCGAGATATCAAATTTTGCGCTCTTCACTATAGAGAATAACTGAGGTTGAACAGCTGAAATGAATCTACGATAATAAATTGAATATTCTATAAAAATCGGCTTTTTTCCCTCACCTTTTGAAAATCTGTTGAGAAAAATAAAAAAATAATATTTAAACCACATTTGATACTGATATATGTGTATTTTTAATTCAAATGCAGTTGTTAATTCCTATCATCTTATTGGCTCAATATAAAGTCATCGCTGCGGGATATCATAAACTCATCAAGTTCTATCGCTATCAATGATTAGATCCTTCCGCAGTTTAAGTGGTAGCCTGGATTAAACAGTAATCTAAGAACAATAGTTTTCTTTAGTTCCTTTGTACTTGACAATGTTCATTAATTAAACATCGTTCAGATTCTTGAACATTATTCTAAACCCAGCATGTATAATTAGAACAGTTGATCTTGTTATAATGATACTAGTTCTAAAGCTGTTGGAAGCTGATATTAAGAATTAAAAATTTTTAGATTAAGTTATAAGGGTGTTTTTATTGTTTTCATTTGATTCTATAATTTTATTTCGACCAATTGACGACGTTTTTTGTCTTTATATAGTTGGCTGGTTTACAAGAATAATTTCTTTCGCCTCCCGAGGTTTGATTACTTAAAATTTGAAATGAAATGAAATGAATCGACTTTTACGTCCTACTTTTCTGCTTAAAATTTAAAGATGTTTTATGTATATATGAAATAGACTACGCAATTTAAGTTTTTTGAAACAAAATTGAAATCTTATATCAGGTTAACTGGAAGCGACAGAATGTCCAATATGTTGTTATTATTCTATTATCATTACACAACCTTTAACAGATGGTCAGATTTTACTTTTACAGTTTTACCCCTACTGGTCCCCCATAACGAGTTTTTAATATATTGATATCACGAGATGCTTATAATAGATGGTGGATTATCTGGGGGTCAATTAGGGTTAATGATAGCCTTGCGAGAATATGAAGAATTGTATCCCCACCAATGGTAAAAGTTTAATTGATCCACTCGTCATTATATAGTTTTAGATTTAATTACCTTGGTGTTCATCTTTTATTGTAAAGTCCCAAGAGAAAGACATGATGAGTGAAGAGGGACATGTTGCTAGCTGACAATGTAATTATTTGTATAATCGACTCCTGTGACTTTATAATGTACAAATGTAATGATAAGAATGACTTTTATTACACTTTTGCTTGTCTGTGTTTTGTTTTATTATAAATGTCATATTAGAAGTAAAATATATATTAAAGGGAGGTTTTCTTTCTTTTTATATGTATAAGAACATTGATAGTATTCATTTGAACCATTTGAATATTTCCATATAAAGGTTGGAAAACGTCTTTATCATTTCTTTTACCAACGTATTATCGGCAGAAGCTTGTTCCCCGATTGCATGCTAATAATTAATATTCAAACAAAAACAGTCATCCAGTATACCGATAGTATACCACTGAATAGCTGTCTGGTTTAGAAAACGTTATATTTTGTAATAGCATTGGTCTTTAATCATACTGGTATGATTACAGTT